GAAATCGTGGGGGGTCGGGATGGTTCGCATGTGGCCCCCTAACGAAGCCCCTGTCTGGGCGCCGCCAGCGCCTGGGTGAGCGAGGAGAGCTGAAGGAGCATCCGTGGAAGGGCCCACGCAACATCGAGCCCCTTCTGAACCCAAGACGTTCCTGACTTCGGCGTCCTGACTGTACTGGTACCCCCCCTGCGCGTGGCTGGCATGGGGCCGACAGCGGAACAGGCACCCCCCGTCCGGATCTGTCCACGGGCGTGAGCATGTCTGAGCCACCCGCCTCCCCGATTGACCGCCCACCAAGCCGCCTCAACCCGACCCCGAGTCGCCGTTGGGCCCACCAATTTCCAGCGGGGCGGCCTTCTGGGACATCGAGAAGACGCAGTGGAGGCCGCACACCCCGCAACCCGACGATTGGGAGAGTCCGGGACCTTCGGGTTGGGTCGGGGTTGTCCGGTATGCGATGACCCGTGCCCTCCCCTCTGATAAAGGGCCTGCTCTCCATCCGTGGCACGGTGGCGAACGATTGAGACGAAGGTGCTCACACTTAAGACGAATGTGCTCAGCGCTGAGGCGAGAGCCGCACGTTCGCTGGAGATGGGGGGTACCACTTCCAGGGCCAGCATACATATATATATATATATACACATATATATAAGATTCGCCGACGAGGCCCGTCGCTGCCGCAGTCGTCGTCGTCGTCGGCGGCGGCGTCGTCGTGGTCGTCGTCGGCGGCGTCGTCGTGGACGTCGACGTCGTGGTCGTCATCGTCCCGTCGGCGACGCCGTCGTCGTCCTCGTCGTCGTCGTGCTCGTCGTCGTCCTCGTCGTCGTCAGAATCGTCGGCGCCGTCACAGTCGTCGTCTCGTCGTCGAAATCGCCGCCGTTCGACGTTGCAGCCGTCGTCGTCGTCGTCCTCAGCGTCATCGTCTTTGTCCTCGTCGTGGTCGTCGTCGTCATCGTCCCCGCCGTCGTCGAGGTCGCCGCCGTCTCGTCGTCGTCGTCGCAGCCGTCTCGTCGTCATCATCGTCGTCCGACGCCGCCGTCGACGTCGTCGAGGTCCTCGTCGTCGTCGTCACTGTCGTCGTCGCCGTCACCGTCGTTGTCGTCGTTGTCGTCATCGTCGTAGTCGTCGTTGTGGCCGTCGTTGTCGTCGTCGCCATCGTCGTCGTCGTCGTCGTGCTAGTCCCCGTCGTCCTCCTCGTGCTCATTAAGTGGTGACCTGCACCCGGGCCATCCTCGTCCTCGTGGTCGTCGTCGACGTCGTCGTCGTCGTCGTCGAACCCGTCGTCGTCGTCGTCGTCGGCGGCGTCGTCGTCGTCGTCCTCGTCGTCGTCGAAGTCCTCGTCCTCGTCGTCGTCGCCGTCGCTGTCGTCGTCGTCGTCGCCGTCGTCGTCGCCGTTGTCGTCGTCGTCGTCGGCGTCGTCGTCGTTCGTTCTTTCGTTCGTCGCCGTCGTCGTCGTCCTCCTCGTCGCCGTCGGCGTCGGCGTCGGCGTCGGCATTGTCGTCGTCGTTGTCGTCCTCCACGTCGTCGTCGTTGTCGCCGTTGTCGTCGTCGTCAGCGTCGTCGTCATCGTCGTCAGCGACGACGTCCTCCTCGTCGTCGTCGTCGGTGTCGGCGGCGTCGCCGTCGTCGTCCTCGTGGTCGTCGTCGTCGTCGTCGAGGGCCGTTGTCATCGTCGTGATCGTCGTCCTCGTCGTCGTCGTCGTTCGTCGTCTTCGCCATCGCCATCGTACGTCGTCGTCGTCGTCGTCTTCGTCGTCTTCGTCGTCGTCGTCGGCTTCGTCCCCGGATTCTGCCGATCCCCCGGCCCTACCGCTCCCCCGATCCCTGCCGCTCGGACCCGCGCCCGCTGCCCCCGTCAGGACACCGCACTCGTCCTTGTCGTCGCCGTCGTCGTCGTCTTCGTCGTGAGCTTCGTCGTCGTCGTCGTTGAAGAAAGACCTGCCCCCGGCCCTTCTCGTCCCCGTCGTGGTCGTCCCCGTCGTCGTCGTCGGTTGCGCCGCCACCGTTCATCGTCATCCTCGTCGACGATGCGGTCGTCGTCGTCGGCGGCGTAGTCGTCGTCGTTGTTGTCGACGTCTTTGCCGGCGTCGTTATCATCGTCGTCATCGTCGGGGTTATCGGCGTTATCGGCGTTATCGGCTTCGTCGTCACCATCGTTCTTCGTCGTCGTCGTCGCCGCCGCCGTCGTCGCCGTCGTCGTCGTCGGCGTAGTCCTCGTCGTCGTCGTTCGTCGCCGTCGCCGTCGCCGTCGTTCGTCGTCGTAGTCGTCGACGACGACGACGGCGACGGCGAAGGCGACGGGAGACGACGACGAACTGCGGATGCTCCATGGGGACGTCGACGAAGACGACGACGGACGACGACGGCGACGACGACAACAACAACGCGACGACGAAGGCGGCGACGACGACGCAGTGAGGATGCCCCATGGGTGGGGGAGGGGGTGCTGCGTAGGCCTGGCCCGCTGTAGCCGACGACGACGACGACGAACACGACGACGGCGACGACGACGGCACGTCATAGTCAGCCTGACGTTGGGAGCAACTTTGCCTCGGATGTGCACGATGCCTACAACCGCTTCTATGCAGAGCGCAGTCGACGTGAGGCTGCCGCGCAAGGGGTCCACAGCCCCCGTCGACGGCGCCCGCGACGACCACCTGGCGCGCGCGTGCTGAAAAAACTGGCACCGACGAAGACGGCCTGGTGGCCCTCGGACGGAAAGCGAGGGCCGCCACGGCGGAGGCGGCGAGATGAGAGGACGCCCGCCCCGCATTCGGGGCCACACGCTGAGGGGAGCGGGAGGCCGTGGCCGCAGCGCGGAGGGCGCGCGAGGCCCACGGCGAGGGCGGCCGTGCCAGGCAGGGCTGCCAGGCGGAGAGGTGGCGCCCAGGAGCCGAGGCGAGCTGAGCTGCGCGCGCGCGCCCACTGCACGCGCGTGGCTCGGCCTCGTGGGACCGCGGTGGGCGGCCCGCGAGGCACCGTCCAAGAACGTCCAAGAGGGTCGTTCGTCGCCGTCGCCGTCGCCGTCGCCGTTGTTCGTCTTTCGTCGCCGTCGTCGGCGGCGGCGGCGTCGGCGTCGGCGTCGGCGTGGGGGCCAGCGTCGGCGTCAGCGTCGGGGTCGGCGTCGGCGTCGGCGTCGGTGTCGGTGTCGGCGTGGGCGTGGGCGTCGTCGTCGTCGTCGTCGTCGTCGTCGTCGTCGTCGTCATCGTCGTCATCGTCCTTACGTACTTGACCTCTTCCGGCCGATCCCTCCAGCCCTGCCGCCCCTGGGCGTGGCCACGCCAGCTCGCGCGCCCGCCGCCCCAAGGGGCGGCTCCATCCGGCCGCCGCCCCCGCCCGCTGGGAAGCACCGCTGCCCCTCTCCGCCGTGGCGGGTGTCTTCCCTCTGGCCCTCGCTCGTTCGCCTTCTTGGGGCCCTCGTCCAGCCTGGTGCTGCCTGGTAGTCTGCCCGACGTTGACCCACGTCCGAAAGCGCGCCTGACGCAGCCCCTGTGCGCCGCCGCGAGGCGCGAGGGCGCAGGCACCGTGGAGCGCCCCCTGCGCGGCAGGCCGCGCCCGCGCCTCGGGCTTCCTGCCCTCGGACCCCGGGCGTTGCAGGCTGTGCGCAGTCGGCGTCGTCGCTCGGCTTCGGGCCCCGGGGCCCTCACATGTTGATTCGGCTCGAAGGAGTGGCGCAGGCATGTCTGCGGTGCTGGGCTCCGGTCGTGATTGTTGTGATGTTGCGTTTTTGTCCGCCGCGCCGGGCCTCGGGGTACCCGATGCCCTTCGCCCTGCGTCGTGCACGCCCCGGTCCTGCAGCTTTGAACTGGATCGAGCGCCGCGTCCCGATGCTTTCTGGATCTGCGCTGGACCTCCGTCCCTGGCGCGCTCCGCGCTGCCGGGGGGGGGCCAAGCGCGGATCCGAGAAATCCGCGCCCTCGGCGCCAACAGTTTATATGCTTCTGGCGTTTTTGCTTCTTCGATGCCCTCGGCCGGGCGCGACGGCTCGCGCGGGCCCGGCACCGCGCGCGGCCGGGCAGCAGCACGGCACCCGGCCGCCACAGGGCCCCGCGGCGGCGCGAGGCGAGGCCTCGTCGGCAGCGCGGGCCGCGCAGCGCCGCCGCGCAGCGCTCTGGCCGGCCCCGGCAGGGCCACGGGCGCGCGCGCAGGGCCTGTGAGGGCCCCAGCGGAGGCCGCGTCCGTGCCCGAGCACGGCAGGTTCGCGTCGTGCCTCCTCCCATCTCTTCTCGCCGGTCACCTCTCGTGCTGGGCCTCCCTCCTGTCTCCGTGCTGAACGCCCTCTTCCCTCATCCCTCCTGTCAGCTCTTTCCTCCTCTTTCCTCCTCTTTCCTCCTCTCTCCTCCTCTCTCCTCTCTCCTCTCTCCTCTCTCCTCTCTCCTCCTCCTCCTCCTCCTCTCCCTCATCCTCCTCCCTCTCCCCCTCCTCCTCCTCCTCTCTCCTCCTTCCTCCCCTCCTCCTCATACCTCCTCCTCCTCCTCCTCTCCTCCTCCCCTCCTCCTCCTCGCATCCTCCTCCTCCTCTCCTCCTTCCTCTCATCACTCATCCTAACTCCTCCTCCTCTTCATCCTCCTCCCTCCTCCTCCTCCTCCTCCTCCTCCCATCCTCCTCATCCGCTCCTCCTGCCTCTCTTCCTACTCCTTCCTACTCCTCCTCCTCCTCCTCCTCCCCCTCCTCTCCTCCTCCTCTTCCTCCTCCTCCTCCTCCTCCTCACTCCTCGCCTCCTCAAATCCTCTCCTACCTCCTTCCCCTCTTTCCTCCCCCCTACTCCTCCTCCCCTTGCCTCCCTCTGCCCTCGTTCCGCCCTCTTCCCTACCGTCGTCGCCCATCTCCACCTCCACATCCATCTGTACTCCACCTGTTCCTCCTCCGCCTCCTCATCCGCCACCTCCGCTCCTCCCGCCTCCTCCACCAGCTCCCCCCTTCCCCCGCCACTCCTCCTCCTCCTCCTCCTCCTCCTCCTCCTCCTCCTCCTCCGCCTCCTCCTCCGCCAGCAGGAACACCTGGCCACCATGAGGAGGCTCAGCAGGTCCCTGCGCGCGGCCCACGGCATCGCGGCGGCAGCAAAACGGGACTGATGCACAAACGTTCGGAGGCGCGTGCGGATCCTGCCGGTCGGCGCTGGCCCCCCTCGCCGTGCTCCAAGGGCGACGCCGGCGGTGCCGCCCCCCCGGCGCGCTCCGCGCGCGCGGGGAAGGCCACCAGACTTCCGACGATATTTCTTGTTTGTTGTTGCCAGTGCGCTACCCCAGAAGTCCCGACCACTACCCCTGGGGTGAGCAGGGCTCGACCTAAGGGTTAGCCCGTTGGCGATTCGTGCTCGTGTTCCCTCCTTCTGCCGTCGTTCCGCCTTCCTGCTGCCCAACGAACCCTCGAAGCGCCAAAAGGCCCACGAGATCGCCCGAGCACCGTTCCGGTCGAGCCCTGGAGGTGATCTCCGTGTTCGGCACAGATCTTGGGAACCCCCAAACCGGGTGGTGAGATACCAGGTGGCGACCTGGAATCCCAAAAAAGGTCACCGCTGGGTTTGGGGACACGGGGGTCACCACCGGGTTTTGTGACTCCTGGACCCCAGTGTCCGGGACATCCTCGGAAAACCGCACGAGCCCCCAAACCGGGTGGTGACACCAAATCGCCCGAGACTCACCGCCAGGTGTTGTCACCACCACGTTTGGGGACTGCCAAAGACCCCCCTTTGATGGCCCCGGGCCAAGACGAAGCGAAGCTAAGATACACCTGAGCTAAGATGAAGCGAAGCCAAGCTTAAGACGAAATAAGCTAAGCTACGATGAGATAAGCGACGCTGAGCTAAGGGGACGTATAGTTAGAACTGGGGGAACCCCTCCGATGGCCCCGGGCCCCGGGGGCCCGATGGTGGGCCCCGGAGGCCGCAGCCGAGAAGAGAGCTGCAGACGCCGGGCCGTCGGAGATCCGGGGGGGCCCCAGCGCCCGGCCGCGAGAGGTCCGCACGCGCCTCCCGAGGAGTCCCCCCGCCGCGAGCCGCCCGTGCTGCCTGCGCCGGCTCTCCTCCGGGGCCCTCAGGGGGGCGACCGATGGCACCGCAAGGCTCCGTCCTCCTCTCCCCTCCTCCTCCTCTCGCCTCCCTCGCCCCTCCCCCTCCTCCCTCCTCCCTCCTCCCTCCTCCCTCCTCCCTCCTCCCTCCTCCCTCCTCTCGCCTCCCTCGCCCCGTCCCCCCCAGAGATCCGATGGCCTCGGTTTCTGCTCGGGGCGGGGTCCCTGGGAGTCTCGGCCTGCCTCCGGGCAGCGGCCCCCCGTCCCGAGCCCTCGCTCGACGGTCCCGGGGCCCGGCGAGGGCCTCGAGCCCAGAAGGCGGCGGACAACCTCCGCCTATATGCTTCCAACGCGTCGGCCCACGGGTCCTCCCTCCGCTGGTGGCCATCACGGGCTCCACCCCCTCGGCAGCCATCACAGGGGCCGCCAGGGTCCAGCTCCCATCAGTGCACCAGTCCACCATGCTGCCACTGAGCACCGCACGGGGCCGAGGCCCTCCTTACACAGCCCATCGGCCAACCCAGCCCCCCGACGTAATGACTTCTTCATGACGTCGCCCCCCAGGGGTCTCGACCCACTCCCCAGAAACCGGTTTTTCATCCTGAGTCGTTGCTTGACGGTTCCGCTGCCCGGTGAATGCCCCCGGAGGCCGAAATTTGCAAAAAACCTCGCGTCGTGAATTTTTCATGACTCGAGGGGGTCTGGGAACGAAAACGGCGGTAGGGAGGGGTGCCAACGTGCTTCCACAACTCTGACCTTGATACCTGAAGGCGCCACTTGCCACAACCGCCCGCCCCGCTGGCGTCCGCCACGCCCAGGCCGACCAGGGCACTGGGCCGACGACAACGACGACGAAGTCGACGCCGACGACGACGACGACTCCCTCGGCGCGTTTTCCTCCCACCCTCGTCGTCGTCATAGTTAACCTCCTCCTCCTCCTCCTCCTCCTCCTCCTCCTCCTCCTCACTCGTCGTCGTCATTATCGAACTCGTCGTCGTCGTCGTCGTCGTCCCTCTCCTCCTCCTCCTCCTCCTCGTCTTCTTCTTCTTCTTCGGAAACTCATACTCTCTCCGTCATCCTCCTCCTCCTCCTCCTCCTCCTCTCCTCCTCTCACCCCTCTCAACCTCATCCGACTCATCCTACTGCTTCCGCATCCTCCTCATGCCCCCGTCCTCTCCTCCTCATCCTCCTCCGCCCTCATACGCCTCCTCCTCATCCTTGACCTCACCTCCCTATACTCTCACCTCCTACTTCCCCCCCCCTTCTCCTCATCCTCCTCCCATCCTCCTACTGCATCATACGCCTCCAATACTTACTCCTCCTCCCCTCATCAATCTCCTCCTTCCTCTACAGCCCCCTCATAATCCCTCCTCACTCATCTCTACTCTTTCTCATACCGTTTCATCATCCCCCCACTCATCATACTCCTCATACCTAGACTCATCAAATCCTAATCCCGCCCTCCATACTCCCTACCCTCATCCTCCTCCCCCCTCTTCCTCCTCATCATCCTCCTCCTCCTCATCTCCTCCTCATCCTCCTGCTCCGCATTCCCTCCTCGCTCTCCTCCTCCTCCTCCTCCTCTCCTCTCTTCCTCTCCATCCCGCCTCCTCCTCCTCCTCCTCTGCTCCTGCTCCTCCTCCTCCTCCTCCTCCCTCACCTCCTATCCTCTTCCTCCTCCTACTCCTCCTCATCCCCCTCTACTCCTCCCCCCTCCTATGCTCTGCCTCCTCATCCTATCCTCCTCCTCCTCCTCCATCCTCTCCTCCTCCCTCCGCCTCATCTCCTCCCCCTCTCCCCACTCTCACTCCTCCTCCTCCTCCTCCTCCCTCCTCCTTCCCCTCCTCTCCTCCCGCTCCTCATTCCTCCTCCCCTCCTCCTCCTTCCCTCCTCCTCCTGCCTCCTCCTCCTCCTCCGTCCCCCCTCCGCCTCTCCTCCTCCTCCCCTACTTCCTCCTACTCATCCTCTCCTCCCCTCCTCCCCCTCACCCCCCCCCTCCCTCCCTCCCTCCCTCCGCCCGCGGTGCCCTCGCCCCGCCCTCCCGGGCGGCGGGCCCGCGCGGGGCCGGCGGGCGGCGCCCCCCCGGCGGCTCGAGCCAGGCAGCGGCGGCCAGGGCCGCGCAAGGGGGCCGCCGCGCGACCGGCGGCGAGCCCCCCCCTGCCGCTGGGCGCGGGCCCGCGGCGTCGGTCGTTCGCTGCGCTGGCGTAGGTACGTGCCTAAATACATACATACATACATACATACATACATACATACATACATACATACATACATACATACATACATACATACGTACATGCATGCATGCATGCATGCATACATATATATATATATATATATACATATACGTATACATATACATATACATATACATAAACACATGAATACATACATACATACATACACACATACATACATGCATGCATACATACATGCATACATACATACATATATACATACATACATACATACATACATACATACATACATACATACATACATACATACATACATACATGTGTGTATATATACATACATACATACATACATACATACACCTATACATTTATACATACACACATACATACATACATACATACATACGTCCGTACGTACGTACGTACATACATACACACATACAGACACACACATACATACACACATACACACATACATTCATACACACATACATACATACATACACACATACATACATACGTACGTACGTACATACATACATACATACATACATTCATACACACATACATACACACATCCATACATACATACATACATACATACATACATACATACGTACATGAACACACATTCATACATACATATATATACACACATACATACATACACACATACATACATACACACACATACATACACACACATATACATACATCCATACACACATACATACATACATACAGACATGCATGCATGCATACCTACCTACCTACCTACCTACCCACATACATGCATCCATGCATGCATGCATACATACATGCATAAACACACACACACGTACATGCATACATATATACATACATACATACATACATACATACATACATACATGCATGCATACATACACACATACATAGATACATACATACACACCTACAAACATACACACCTACATACATACATACATACAGACATACATACATGCATTCGTACGTGCGTACGGACGTACGTACATACATACAGACATACATACGTACATACATACATACATACATACATACATACACACACATACATGCATACATGCATACAGACATGTCAACACATATACATACGTGCACACATACATACTTACATACCTACATACCTACATACATACATGCATGACCACATACATGCATGTATGCATGCATAAATACATGCCTGCATATCTACATACATGCATACCTACATACCTACATACTTACATACAGCCATACATCAACATTCGTGCATGGCGGTATACATACATACATACATACATGCATTCATACATGCATACATACATACATATATGCATGCACACAACCATCCATACATACATATATACAAATATACATACACACAACCATACATACGAACATACTTACATCCATACGTACATACACACATACATTCATTCATACATGCATACATACATACATACATACACATACATACATACGTACGTACGTACATACATATATACATACATACATACATACATACATACACCCTGCAGATGCGGATAAGAATGAGGGGGCGCTGGGGACGTCGGCAGTTTGCGAGACTTTGGAGAAGCCCACCGCGGGCGCTCAAGTTTCACAAATCATGCAACGAGCCCGCCGCAGGCGCTGATTCCTTCGTTAAACCAATGTGGTCAGGCCGCGGGTGGGTCGCGGGGTGGGTCGCGGGGTGGGTCGCGGGTGGGTCGCTGTAGGGTCGCGGGTGGGGAGGGCAGAGAATCCACCCCATAATAATTACCCCGACAAGTGAAGCCATTTAGTAAACGCACGCAAGGAATGGATCGAACAGGGCAGGGCTGTTTAGCCAACGCCCAGGGCCGTTTTAGTAAACGTTAGTTGTCGGGTCGGGGTGGTTTTTCCTCCCTTGAGGGTGGGTCGCGGGAAGGTCGCGGGGTGGGTCGCGGGTGGGTGGCGGATGGGTCGCGGATGGGCCGCGAGGTGGATTGCGGGTGGGTCGCGGGGTGGGTCGCGGGTGGGTCGCGGGTGGGTCGCGGGTGGGTCGCGGGGTGGGTCGCGGGTGGGTCGCGGGGTGGGTCGCAGGTGGGTCGCGGGTGGGACGACGACAACAAACAATAACAACGGCAACAACAACGCACCAAGCAGAATTATCACCACGAAGTCCTTATTCAGCCACGCACCCAGGGACAATGAATGACCGTTCGGCCCCCTCACTCTGATGTATACACATATGTGTATACACATAGACGTATATGTACATATACATATATGTGTATGTGCGTAGTTGTATGCACATACGCCTATGTTGTCATGCACATATCTATATATTTAAATGAATGTCTCTCTATATGCATGTATGTACTTATGTATCCGCCACCGTGCCTCTTGAGGCAGCACGAGGCCCCCAAGGGGCCCCAACAAAGAGGCCCCGAGAGGCCCCAAAGCGGCCCCCAGGTGGCCCCAAGAAGCCACGAACGGGCAGGCAAACGCCTGCAATAGTTCAGTACGGGCTGGCGAAATGAGTGAAGCGATTGAATATGATATGTATTTATGTATCCGCCACCGTGACTCTTGGCACGGAGTAGTCGTATCATCACGTCCTCTTTGCCTAATCCATGGAGCCTCAGCCCTCAATCCCAGTTTTTTCAAAGGGCCCGGACCCCAAATTCCGAAATCTGGCGGGCCTTCCCGCGGTTCCCTTTGGCTTCCCCGCGGCTTGTCGTATCACTTTTTCGGCCCAAGAGGACTCGAAGATAGGCCCAGAGGGCCCCACGAGGCCCCCAACACGGTCTAAGATGGCCCCGAGTCACCGAAAAATCGTTCCAAGACGCCCAAGAAGGCCTCAAGATGGCCCAAGAGGCCTCCAAGACGCCCCAAGAGGCATCCAAGAGGCCTCCCAAGAGGCCTCCCAAGAGGGCCCCAAGAGGCACTCATCATTTTGTTGTTTTCAGATTTTGGCGTTCTCGCCTTTTCATCCTTCCGACGTTCCATGACGGCCCAAGAGGCCCCGAAGACCACCCCAAAACGGCCAAAGGGGCCTCCAGGAGAGCCCCAAGACGGCCTAAGAGCGCCCCAAGACGGACCAAGAGGGCCCCAAGACGGCCCCCAAAGGGACCCAAGAGAGGGAACACAAGCCGAAAGCCCGAGCCTTCCGCCCCAAGGGGCCCCCGCTGGAGGCAAGGCACATTTCTCGGCACCACTCGAACCGCAGCAGGCAGCAGAAGCTGAACCGCCGCAGCTCCGCAGCCGCCGCAGCCGAGGAGGAAGACGAATTAGAAGAAGAAAAAACGGCATGAACAAAAACTGCTGGCGCTCCGCGCGGATTTCGTGGACCCGCGCTGGACCCCCCCTTCCTGGCGCGCGGAGCGCGCCGGAGGCGCCGCCGGGGGGTCCCATCGCGGATCCGAGAAATGCGCGCGGAGCGCCAAACGTTCATGTTCATGGCGTTGCTCTCGCCCTCGAGGAAGACTACTGTCGATCTTTCGCCGCCTGGCGCGCTGCTCCCCCCCTGAGACAGGACGGACGCGGGCCCCTCCCCCCCTTTAGACCTCCGAGCCTTACCTCAGTGGGGCGCGGGTGGGCCTGGCCCAGCAAGGGGGGGGGGGGCACGGGCCCGGAGTCGGCGGGCAGACTACATCGCCGACAGATCGGCGATGGGCCCACGGTGGTGCGACTCTGGGCGCTCCTGGGCGAGGAGGAGGAGGAGGAGGAGGAGGAGGAGGAGGAGGAACGAGGGAGGGAGGAGGAAAAGGGAGGAAAAGGAGGAGGGGAGAGTGAGGAGAGGAGGAACGAGGGAGGGAGGAGGGAAAGGGAGGAAAGGGAGGAGGAGGACGGAGGAGGAGTGAGGAGGGGAGGAGGAGGAGGAGGAGGAGGAGGAGGAGGAGGAGAGGAGAGGAGGAGGAGGAGGGGAGGAGGAGGAGGAGGAGGAGGAGGAGGAGGAGGAGTGAGGAGTGAGGAGGGAGGAGGAGGAGGGGGAGGAGGAGGAGGAGGAGGAGGTGGAGGAGGAGGAGGAGGAGGAGGAGGAGGAGAAGGAGGAGGTGGAGGTGGGGCACTCAGGCCCCGATCGGCGATGGGCGGGCGATTCGGGGCCGACGTGTCCCCGCCCGGGCCCCCGTCGTCGGCGCCTCTGGCGTGGGTGCCGCGGCGTGCTCCGGCTCCTGCGTGCAGTCAGCCCGTACAGTCGGGGCGTTGACCTAAGGAACCCTAAATAAGGAACGAGGCCCCTTTGTTCCATAAGTTCAACTTCGATTTCCCATCGAAATCCTAAGAGAAACCTGAGGCAAACTTTGAAACAATCGAGGAACACCGAGCCCCTCCCCAACGAAAAGGGTTCCTTCTTCAGCGCCCCGACTGTAAGGCAAGGACGCACGATACGGATGCAAGGTCGGGCGTTGGCAGAACTGGGCTTCGTGGAACCTGGTTCAGTGATCTGTACCGGGGGCGCCCCCCCGTCCCATTGCCACTCACCGGAACTGCCGTCACCCGAAAAACACCAGTTACAGCAAGCCTGGTTTAGTGAATCTGGCCAATTGAAGGGCCCCAGGGCCCTACCACTAAGCAGGTCCCCTTACCCAGGGTCCTGGCTATACCCGAGCAAGAGCCTTGGGAGGCCATGTCAACACTTTGCGAGCGGGGCGTGGCCAGCGAAAGCGGCTGAGGAGGGGCCGGAGGGGAAGGATGCAAGGGTAGCCCTGGACAATTGCTCATCCTCACTATGCGGGCGGCTGACTGTACCCATCCTGGCCAACCTTGAAACGATCGCGGCCCCGACCGCTCAAGGCTGAATTCAGCCGGGTTCAGCGGCGTTACCATGTCCATCGGTGCTTCCGCGTCGCAGAGCTCAACCTTGAACGCCTTCGCCGGCGTCGCCGGCGAGCCAACGCCGCAC